CTCTTCAATAAATAGACCTTGATATTTGTGATACCTTAGAAGTTTTGCTCAAATTTTCATAAGTTGTGACCTAAGCAGAATACTTGGAATGAATACTAGGAATGCTTGATAGCATCAATAAGATCTGAAAGGAATACCTTATTCAAGTTGGGATTAAAAAAACCTAACCTAGTAGTTTTTGAGCTGTACCATACATTAACACTCATCTCAGTTAGTGTGTTTAAGAATGTGTAGAACAATTTTAATGCTCAATGACCTAATCAGTTGAGCTACTTATTCGACCTAAGTACATTAGGGTAAAAATGCAATTATTTTGCCCAAATAAGTCTTGACCTACATGAAACCCAAATTATCTAATCTAAACTATTAAACTAGTTGATGATAGGATAGAATGATGTAGTCATATTGAAACTTAAAATCAAAATAGTCATTGTGAGTTGAGGAAAATATCTTAAGAATCTAAAAGGATTTTGGTCTTTTGACCTACCTAGGATATTTTCATCTCTTTGTTGAAATTGAAGTGGCTAGTTTGTTATTGGAAAAGAATTGTACCTTTTATGTTGCTAACGTGGATTCTAACCTTGTTTCACATGTGCTCAAATGGACATGCTGACATGACACTCTACTATTGGTCCACTTAGATCTATGTCACCCTAGCCTATTCTAGGTTAAATCATGCAAGCCACATCACTTTAGGTATAAAATACCTTGTATTTTTTCATAAGTAATCTTAAGTCACTCCTTCTCATTTTCCCTAATTCCTTCCTTCCCTTACTTTCCATTAACTTGAGCATTTAAACACAAATGTTGAAGCCACCTCTAACCTTTGTTTCTAACCTTTACTTTTTTTACGCTAAGTGCCTCTCCTCGATCCGATTATTGTTCAAATAGAAACAAAGTCGATGTACTAGGCTTTGATTTTGCTCATTCATCATGTTTTTGTTATGTTGGTATTACTAGTGAATTGGGAAGAAAACACAAAAAAGAAAATATCTCAAATTCCTCTTCCTTTGCATACGATGCAAATGCATCACCGGTAAGATAAAAAAAACATGGTTTTGCACTTTCCCATGATTCAACAACTTTTGTTTGTACAAAAAGTTACCATAGATAGTCTTTATTTTGTTTTCATGTTTATTACAAGTATTGGTTCAAAAAAAGCAATCTCTAACACCTAACCACTTCCTTGATTTTCCTTAACCATTTAGAAGGGGTGGGGGAATTTCACCAATCGAATCTTGCATCATAAAAAGTTAGTATCCATCATCCCTTCCAAGTAGATATGGCATATGAGTCCCCACTAAGTAGATATGGCAATTCATATACCCGACTCGTGTCTATTTCATGTTAAATCCATATAAAATATAAAAATTACAATGTCACAATTAGTGTAAACACATTAAACTTAAATAAATTTTTTAACTTTTATCAAACCCAAATGCATTTTAATGTCTTCTTTTATATCATTTTCACATCATGTTATCATGTCATATTTAAAATTACCAGATTTACCTTCAAACCTATAAATGCCCTAATTTTTTTTTTAAACATTGTTTGTGCATTTCTTTTCTTAACTTGCTTTGTAGGATATGAAATACAAAATTTAGGATAAAGAAGACTAGTCATAGCCAGGCAAAATGTTGGCTATCTTACTGGAGTGCTTTGTGACTATCTTGCAAAACTATTCCCTGCTTCCTTTCCGACATAATACCAGGAAAACCATAAAGGGGCGTTTGGTTCATAAAATCTTAGATTCTAAGAGAAAATATGATCTCCAAGAAAATGTGAATTCCTAATAAGGGGTGATTCTTCATGGCATGGGATTGTTAGATTCTTGTATTTAATTAAGGGAAAAGTAAATTACTTAATCATGTATTTTGACTATAATGTATTTCACTACATAACAAACACAACAATTTGTCAGTAAAAATAATCAACAAATAATGCATTTCAAATCATAGAAACACGATATTCAAGTGTCGAATTATAAAAAAAAAAATTAGTCGTCAATTACTTCATTAAATTTATCCAAGAAAATATGGGAAATAAAGCACAATTACTGTGTTTCAAAGTCTAAAAATACAATATCCTAATGGTTTATAAAAAAATTTTGATATCAATTATAGCATTTCTATTCCAAGAAACGAAGTATATACTATAATTATTGCATTTGAAATCATAGAATATAAATGAACAATTACTACAGATAACTTCAAAGAAATGCAATAATATATCATAATTACTCAAATAATGCATTTAACTTGAAAGAAACGTAGTAAATGCATCATTCTTTCATGCCAAGGCATTTTATCTTTGGTTTTCTTGTCTTTTATTTATTTTCTCTATAATTGAAATTGTGTGGCTATGAATCATTTGGCTTTACTTTACTTGTCTTTTGGCTTGCATGGCTGTGAATCATTAAGCATATTTTGTCAATAACATTTGCCTTGCATTTGTCAATGTAAAATGAGTTCTCACAATTACGACATTTTTATTCAAATAAACGCAGTAAATAATCTTATTTACTGCATTTCAAAGTTTCAAAATGTAGTACTCAAGTGAGAAAATGTAACAAAAATTTACCAATTGTCAAATATTGTGTTTCTATTCAAAGAAACAAATTAAATAATTGCAATTATTGCATTCAAAGTCTCAAATGTAGTATTTGTGCTATTTGTTTTCAATATTATGTTTGTAAATAAAAAATCAAACTTAAATTTCTTTACATACATTAATTTTCAAAAGGATAAAATAAAAAAAAAACATTTTTTTATTCAAGTCAAATGTGGGAGAAATGTAACTTTCCTCCTAGTCTTAAAAAACCATAGGAAAATGTGAGTTTCTAATCCCGAGACTTTTTTATACTATTGGGAATCTAATATTACCCTAGGAATCAAATATCTGTGAACCAAATATGGGAATCACATTCGCACAAATATAGATTCCTTCGAACTAAATGCCCTCTAAGAACAATAAAAAAAGACTTAGTAAGAATTCACATCAATCAAAGTCAAAAGTGTAAGGAAGATGACGAATATTTTTTTATTGCCCAAAAATCTGGTTTTGATACAACCAATTCTTCCTAGCAATACAATTAGTTTTGACCTTGATCACCAAAACTACTTACAAGTTGCTTTCTCTTTATGATTACATGGATGCCTTTCAAGTGAAGAAATAAAATACTAGAATAGCTAAACTCATTGATATTCATTTCTTTATGAGATGTTAGAAAGGAAGAAAACAAAGATTAGATCAAGGCAATCTCAATCAGTATATTGTTAGGAATTACCTCAATAGTCCATGCGACCCATACCATCAGGCATTGCTAGAACATCCTTCTCATTCTTGGGAAGTTCAACTAAAACAACTTCAATTGTTGTCATTAATGATGTAACACTACATCAAAAAAGCAACATAATTAGCTTATTATTATTAATATTTTGAAAATAACTTAGCTTGTTAGTTTTAGAAATTAAAGGCAAGGTAGAGTAACAATGCATAATCGAGAAAGAGATTTACGGCTTACCTTGCAGTATTAACCAATGCAATTCTAATTACTTTCAACGGTTCAATGATACCAACCTTTACCATGTCTACATATTCACTTGGTTATCAAAAAAAAAAAAAATGGAGCATAAGCTACCTTACTTTCATCATAATGGTAAATATATGCAATGAAAGAAACTTTTATGTCATTCATTGACCTTTGGCAACATCATATCCAAGATCAGGGTTATCCTACTCTAACAGTTTATCATTGACAACAACTCTCTACACTCTTACATTTGAAGCAATTGTGTACATAGGTGTCTGCAATAGAGAATTCCATTTTTAAGGGAGAATGAAACTTTACAAATAAAATTTCTAGCATTTTGAAACTTTACAGTGAAAGAGCTATCTAAAATTTTTAATAGTATATCTAGAAAATAATTTTAAAAAATAATTTTCAAAAGTTGATCCATCTAACATGTATGGAAAAGATTTACAAACCTTTAGAGCATTATGTATAATTTAAACACCAATCTTCTGGTCAAAGTTGATTGTAGGTAGCTTGTCCAACTCTTTCGATGCGTACAGAAAAGTGACACCACCACCTCAAAAAGATAAATCCTTAAGTAATGTTTTCACTAATTCAAAGATTAATTAAACCCTCATGAAAAACTAGTAAGACGTAAAAGTTATTACCTGGCACAATACCATCTTCTATAGTTGCCTTTGTGGCATTTAATGCATTTGTAACTCTATCTTTCTTCTCACCAACTTTAACTTCACTAGCTCTTCCAATTCGTAATGTCCTACAAATTCCAAGCTTTATTAAATCTATTCATGTAGCAACAAATAGGAAATAAAGTAGCTATTGTAGTTTTTTAAATAAATGTTAGATACCAGTAACTATAAGGACTATACCTTCAAGATAGCAACACCACCAAGAAGCTTTGCCAATCTTTCTTGCAACTTCTCTTTATCATAATTAGAATGCTCAATTTAATTGCTAACCTAATTTGTTATTATGGACATACATTATAATATGAATTTTTAAGGAAATTACGTAGAGTTCAAGAATCAAAAGAAGGCTAAATAATTGTTCATAGAAAGCAACAAAACCTATTCACATCTTTCTTCAATGTCTTTCTTGTCACCATCCCCATCAAGAATAATAGTGTCATCCTTTGAGATAATAACCTACAACAGCCGAAAGAAAAAGAATCATGCATCAAAACTGATGTCTATACATATAAAAGGAATTAAATTTGTTTTACCAAACTTAATAACTTCCTCATTATAGGAAATGATAGAAAATCACATCAAGCAGAGAATTTCACGTCTAAAAAATAGATATCATACCTTTTTACAAGTGCTAAGCTTGTCTAGATCCACCATTTCAAGGTTTATGCCAAGTTCTTTAATTATAACCTATGGTAGAAAAGTAACATATATCATTCATCAAGAGGTCATGCAAACTCATGCCAATGGTACTATATGTTATGAACAAGACAATCTCATATAGCAGAAAAGTGCCTTATCTCTCCTATTGTGAAGATAGCAAGATCATGTAGACTAGCCTTACTATTTTCTCAAAAACCAATGGCTTTGATGGCACAGACCTGCCTCATAAACAATCTTTTAAATACTAGCAAGCATTCCTAAAATTGATGAGGAAAATTACATTGAAAAAAGGAAAAAATTTCATATTAGACAGTGAACACCAAACCTTGATTCCAGCACGAAGCTTGTTAAGAATGAATGTTGCAAATGCTTCACTGTCTACATCTTTAGCCATAATTGTTAGCTTTTTAAGTGAGATGGTGATCTAAGAGGGGGTGAATTGGATTTCTCTAAATTCTTCCCAAACAAATGATTTCAATATAATTGAATGAAAAATAAAACAATAAGCACTTTTGATGAAAATATAATGCAAACAATAACAATTAATGAACCTAAAATTAAATATAAACAATAATAAATTGTAAGGAGATAGGGATAGAGAAATAAAACATAATGATTTATAGAGGTTCGGTCCTTCTTCATAAGGCACCTACGTCCTCTTTCTTGGTTGTCCACACCAGGGCTTCTATCCACTATTCTTAAATTGAAAATATAACCTATCTTTTTTTTTCTAAGGTTTAAGATAGAAACCTCTACCCTTTGTAGTATTGTACCCAATCTCACTATAAAGCTCTCAAGAGGATACCTCACTTCTTGTTCTCTTCCACCATTGCATATCAAAGGTAATTTTGTAAACAATTGAACAACCTCTCTAAGGCTAAGTATTTGCTAAGTTTAAGTACAAGAAAATGATGAATGAACAGCAAATACGATTTTAGATATAATAAATACAAAGATATAGACTTTAAAGCTCTAAAACTCTTGAGAGAATGAATATATGACTTGTTTGATCTTGCTCTCTTGATTCATCAACCTTTTTGGTGTGTTGGAGTGGCCAATATATAGAGAAATTGAAAAACTAGCCATTGAGGAAGGTTTGGAAGAAGAAATGCCCATTAGAAGCATGAAAAACTAGCCGTTGGAAAGTTTCTACCCAAACCTAATTGATCATTTCCCTTCCATGAAGGGATCAATTGGTTCAAGTTTTGTGCCCTTTTCTCCTTGAAAAACATGACCCAATCAATCAGGTAAGGGACCCGATTGATTGGTTTAGCTAGGAGATCAATTGGTTCAATCATGGGATCAATTTGGTCAAGCTGCTCTAATGTATACTTTTTACACTCTACTCACTAATTTGATTATATCTTAGGTTATACAAATCCAAATCAAAAATCGTTTGAAGATTTAGAAACTAGACTTAAAACCAATATTATCAAAATTGTATTAAGTCTAAAATGAATAAGTTTACTTTAAAAACAACAATTGGAATTTCATTTAGGCTCAAAAAAATAATATTTAAATATAGATTTGGTTTGAGAAATATGAAAACAAAGAAAGGTTTGTTTATACTTTGAAAAACATATTACTTATTTAGTACCAAAATATAAAACTTAAGAACATGTACTAAATAAATCTTTTTTAAAATCTTGATCAAGCTTAATTAGCTTAATGTTTTGTCATTTCAAAATAAGGATCAATTCAAGTATAACAATCTAATCTTTTTTGATATGACAAAACTTAAAGATAAATTTACTTGATTAAAATTTTTCTTTGAAACATTTAAGATTTTGAAAAACATTTTGAAAAACTCCCCCTTAAACAATGCAAGGCAAAACTCTCCCTCAATTAATGCATCATAATCTAACACAATTCAACAAACATATATTAGTCAAATATATGAAATAAACATAATCAAACATATGTATGTCATGCAAAAGCAAATTTGTCCAAATGATATTTCTCCCCATTTTTGTCATAGTAAAAAGTCATGAGCAAATTAATGAGCAAATAAACACAAATAGCCATCATTAACAAATATATTCATGAAACATTTCTCTTCCTTTTTGTTTATGCTCTTTATACCAAATGTTTAAGCTCTTATATCATTTGTTATAAGCATACAAGAAGAAATATCTCTAAACTCTATCCCCCTTTTTGTCATTTCAAAAGAAAAAGAGATCAATTCAAGGCATGAGACAAAGTGCTTGATATCAATAATATCAAGAGTATTTTAAATGCATGTAATCAAGTGTAATATGCACTATGAAATTCACATACATGTATTCAAGCACAAAAGTATATGTGTATCCAATTAAAATGTTATAGCACAAAATCATTCATTCAACCTAATCACATTAAATTTATGAGCAAAAGGATAATAAAGATATGCAACCTATTCATAAATCATGTTATCATAAAATGTGCTTAGAAACTAAAACATCAATAGCAATTAAGCATAAATTCAAGCACATGCATACAAGCTCATATCAATTGTTATAGATACCAATTGTTAAAGATATGTTATGATAAAGCATACTAATTGTTATCACAAAACAAATCAAACAAAATTGTATTCTAAGATTTCTTGTCATTTTCAAAATAAGGATTAATCAATATAAGCCATACATAATTTTGCATGAGAGGTATAAGCTATATCAAGGATAGGCACATAAATAAGCATCTATGAAAGTTAAAGAAATCTTTAGAAATTTTGATATCAATTGTTACTAATTGTTAGCAATTTTATTCAACCACTTTCATAAAACAAACATACTTCAAGCATATGAAAGATTCATTCAATATATGCATAAATGATAATAGTAATCTTTCATAAGTTATCCTATCCAAACAAGAACCAAAAGCTCATATGTATATAATAAATCATAAGTACTAATGAGTAATGAGGTTCAATCATCATGTCCTAACAAAGATTATATAAACATGATTTTTCAAACATGATGAGCACATATGCTATAGCAAAGAAATAATGAAAACATAATTATTCTATTATAATCCAAATTATTTCAATGCATAGCAATGTACTTAATCTAAGCATATGCAAGTAATCAAACATATATTTATTTGAAACAAAATCACATAAGTATATACAAGAACATTTCAAAACATGTATAGCAATATACCAAAAAAAATGCAAATATTTAGACATAATCTGGTACATGCTATCTCAATTGACTCAATCAATGAATATGTTCAAAGAAATCAATCTATTTAACTATATCCATGTCCAAAGATTCAAATGAATATTCATGCAATAAAAACTAGTAATCAAAGCAATTGAGAATTAGGCATGAATATTAATCAATCCAAGCATTTAACAAAGTTAAGACAAATTCAATTAAGTAGCTTGGTGATTAATTTGTGCAAAGTGTTCACTAATTCAAATATAATATCTCATTTTTGCACATATCAAAGCAAACATTTATCAAATCATGTATTAAACATTATAAATCATAAGCACAGAGCATAGATTCAATACAATTACCTCCATCTTTATCAAGTTATATTGTTGCGCTCATTGTAGTTGAGTGAGGTTTTGAATCCTCCATTCCACATCATTTGAGCTAGTCTTTGATGTACTTGGGCTTGAATGATAAAGATAACTTGCTTTGCTTATTACACTTAGAATCTAAAAAATGTAAGTTCATTCATGCTCATTTCAAGGTCTCCTAGCATAGACTTAGAAAATTTTCTTGACAAATGATTTTAATTAAAAGCATCAAGAAAATCAATTAATAAAAATTATACCAATTGTGAGAAAACAATTTCATATTTTAAGTCATTATAGGCAAAACAAAATTTATTCACTAAGCACAAGTTGTCAATTACAAGGGAGATATATACTTAAGCTAGAGGCCATATATCAATTTAAACATCAAATAGCACAAAAATGACACTAAAGCAAAAGTTCTCATGTAATGGGTAAAAATCAAAGCTTTTAGATCATTCATGAACACAAAATAGACATATTCAATATTCATATCTATTCAATAAATCACCAAGGAATATATCAAAATAAACTTTAGGCCATATGAAAATTAAAAACTCAAAGAAGACATATTTTTCATAAAAAACATATTCAAGAAAATTTTAGCACAAAAGCATAAATATGTCTACACAAATTATAGGTCATAATCAATAATAACTTAAGCTAAAAATAAGCATCATAAGAAATTCATTTACTTAAGTCATGTTACAAGCATGTCACATAAAGATAAATAATATTTATTACATAAGTATACACTTAAAAAGAATAAGAGATTAACTAACAACATATTTCATTTATAAACAAGTAGTTCATTATATTCAAAATCACAAATCAAAAGATATATCAATTGAACACCAAGATCCAAAATATTTCATAAAATTAATAAAATATTTAAGTAAAAAAAAAGCATATTTCGTAAAATATCTTCCAAAATCAAGAGATAAATAATTCAAGCATTTTAGACCACAAGCATTAAAGTCAAATTGAATCAATCATCATATGAGCACATATCTTGACCAAAAATATAGATGAACAAAGAATCAATATATATCTTTTAAGCACATAAAATTCATCAATTCATTAACATAAGAGAAGAAATAAATCTTGAATTAATAAGGATAAAGAATTAAATCATATTTCAAGATTATTTCATAAAAAGTCAAGAGATGAATAATCAAACATCAATATATATGATTTAAGCACAAAATGATCATCAATCTCTAAAATCACAAATCAAAAGTTAAAACAATTGAGAATAAAATAATCAAGTTTAAATAATATTTCACAAGATCCAAGCATTATAAACAAGTTAAGTAATTTTAAACAACATGGTTATATAGGTATGTTCAACAATCACAAATCAATATGCATAAAAATCACAAAATCATTTCCATCATGCTAAAATCACTCAAACAAATATATTTATGCAAAATACCATAAGAAAAATTATTCAAAACTTAATATTTTCGTGATTTTTATTTTTGATATTTTGAAGCTTATTTTTGCTTGAAAAAGATCTTAATAAATCTCATAACTAGTCAAGCTCATTTTTAACCGACTTGAACCATTCCAAAAAATTTTAAATGACAAAACAAAGTTGTTCAAGTGCTCATTTAGCATTAAAAATAAAGAAATCAAAAAGTCAACTCTTAATCTCATATTTCCTTGAAAAAGGCTATTAAGATGGGTAAATATGTTTAAACACATTTAAGCTCTTCAAATCATTTAGAAAAGTTTTATATCACAATTTGAAATTCTCTAAATGGTTTTTATGCTCATGTATGTTCAAAAACAAGATTTGATCTTTTAAGTTCAACAATCCTTTGAAACTTGCATGTAACACTATGAAAAATTAAAATCAATACAAGTTATCAACTTTTCTTTGTTTGAGCAAGTTTAAATTATTAAATTCAAGATATTCAAATTTATTTTACAATTAAAAACTTGTTAAAATAAATTTTCATATTTTAAAGATTGACTCTAGCAAAAATCATTTTCAAAACAAAACATAAAGTCTCAAAATCATTAAGCTTTAAGTGCTCCCCTTAAGTTTGTGCATAAATATAAAAACAATTTAGCACATAAATAATTACTCCAAGCATCAATAAAAATTCATCAACAAAATTATTTTAAGTAATTTAACACCATAAACAATTTCAACAAGCATCTCAAACATATTTAAGAGCAAAATAAATGCATATTTAATTCAAGCTCACATTTTCTTCAGATTATGCAACCTATGTCTTGTAATCACTGTCAATCAAATTTTGCATAATCAATTAAGCATTCAAATTTCATTAAGAATAGGTAACCAAATTCAAATTCTTTTCAAATAAAAGTTTAAAGGTTACTCATCTCCATTGTGTGTCTAGAGTATTAAATGTTCAACTCACATTATAACTCCTTGCTCTAGCACATCTACAAGAGACAATCTCATTTGATTTTTTGTACCAAAATTGCTTTAGGTTCTTAAGAGTTAGTGATCAAGTCTCTTGTTCTTTTAGGAACCCATACTTGCCTAATTCTAAATAAAACTTTTCTTCTAATAGGACAAATATGTATAGTATGACCATGAAAATTACAAAAATTGCATTTAATCATTTTAGCACTTAAACTCTTATCTAAAAACTCTTGTTTTTCATTCATCAAAACATCCAATTTCTTTTCCAAATCAATTTTTTTTTCTAAAATTTCATACCTATTTTGAGAGGTTTCAAAATTTATTTTCAATTTTTCATTTTTTTTTCCAAAATATTTTTTGCATTCATTAAAAACTCATTCTTTACTTTCAGTTTTGAAATCATTTTCTTATATTTCTCTTCATTGATTCACATTCAACATATAGCTCATTATAAGCATATTGCAATTCATCAAAAGCATATGAATTTAATCAATAGAATTAGAAGTTACCTCTGGATCTTCAAGAGCCATGGACATGATACATTTCGATTGGATTGTTATCTTTCATGTATTTCATTCAACTTCTCTCATATCTCATTTGAAGTTAGACACTTTGACACCAAGTTGAATTTATGGGAGTCAAGAACATCTTTATCCTCCTTCTTCATTCATAAAATTTAAATTTATTAATCATAGAAGCTTTAAGGACTTTCTCACCATCTTGGAGCCAAAATTGAGCTATAGGATCTTTACTTAAGGTAGTTAAACCTATAAAAGAGACCAAAGCTTTGATACCAGTTGTTAGCTTTTTAGGTGAGATGGTGATCCAAGAAGGGGTGAATTAGATTTCTTCAAATTTTTTCCAAACAAATGATTTCAATATAATTGAATGAAAATTAAAACAATAAGCACTCTTGATGAAAATATAATGCAAACAATAACAATTAATGAACCTAAAATCAAATATAAACAACAATAAATTGTAAAGAGTTAGGATAGAGAAATCAAACACAATGATTTATAAAGGTTCGACCCTTCTCCACAAGGCACCTATGTTCTCTCTTTTTTGTTGTCCACACCAAGACTTCAATCCACTATTCTTGAATTGAAAATACAACCTATATTTTTCTTTCTCAGGCTTAAAATAGAAACCTTTACCCTTTGTAGTATTTTATCCAATCTCACTATAAAGCTCTCAAGAGAATACTTCACCTCTTATTCTTTTCCACCCTTGTATATCAAAGTAATTTTGCAAACAATTGAACAACCTCTCTAAGGCTAAGTGTTTGCTAAGTTTAAGTACAAGAAAATGATGAATGAACAACAAATATGATTTTGGATATAATAAATACAAAGCTAACTTTAAAGCTCTAAAACTTTGAGAGAATGAATATATTTGTTTGATCTTGCTCTCTTGATTCGTCAACCTTTTTTATGTTGGAGTGACCAATATATAGAGAAATTGAAGAACTAGCTATTGGGGAAGGTTTGGAAGAAGAATGCTCATTGGAAGCATGAAAAACTAGCCGTTGAAAGTTTTTGCCATACCCGATCGATCTTTCCATGAGGGGATCGATTGGTTCAAGTTTTGTGCCATTTTTCACTTGAAAAACATGACCCAATCGATTAGATAAGGTCCTCGATCTATTGGTTCAACTAGGGATCGAGCTAGAGTTGCTCTATTGTATCCTATTTTGTACTCTACTCACTAATTTGATCATATCTTGAGTTATACAAATCCAAATCACAAATTGTTTAAAGATTTAGAAACTAGACTAAAAGGGCTTTCTATACATACAAAATTCACTACTAATTCATTGTATAGAATTTTAGTGAATTTTTAAATCTACCCATTGTGCAGTTTTTAGACAACTGCAGATGTCTAGTAAAAATTCAAAATCTTTTATTAGAAAACTTAGATTTTTATTTTGTTTGATCCATTATAAAGTAGAGTCAAAGAGCTTTCCAACCATATAAAATTCAAATTAAAACTTTGTGAATTAATACAGAAAAATAAAAAAAGTTCAATGTTGAAAACTTTATTCTTGCAAAACAACTTTCTGAAGTTAATCTATTTCTCAAAACACTATTATCAAATTTATTAAGTACAAAATGAATAAGTTCACTTTAAAAAAACAATTGGACTTTCATTTAAGCTCAAATAAATAATCTTTAAAGATAGATTTGGTTTGAGAATTATGAAAACAAAGAAAGGTTTATTTATACTTTGAAAAACATATTATTTATTTAGTACCAAAATATAAAACTTAAGAACATGTACTAAATAAATCTTTTTCAAAATCTTGATCAAGCTTATTTAGCTTAATATTTTGTTATTTCAAAATAAGGATCAATTCAAGGCTAATAAAAATTAACAAGGGCTTTTTTTTATAAACAAATATAGCATAAAACTTATTAATTTTAGAAATCAAATGTGGAATGAGAAGTTTAAGAGAGTTTTACTGAGAAAAACAATAAATCTTGATGAATGATGATTAACCTAAATGTGGTTAGGTAGAATGGTCTAAAAGCATGCATTGAACAAAATTTACTTACCTTTAAAGCTAACTTAAATACTTTCACCACTGAATTTAAGCTAGATATTCTCTTTTCATGGATTAAGATAAGATTATCATCTAATTCCTACCAAAAAAAAAATTGAATCAACTTCATGGCATGGTTAAGACTCAATCAATATGCCAGGAGCTCAATTAAAAAAAAAAAGAGTTATTCAACACATTTTTGGTTTTTTGTATTGGTGATGAAGTATGATGATATGTAGCCCCTTTCAAGCTTCATTCCTTTAATAACTGCCAACTTATTAAATAATGTTTTTCCATCCTCCAAAAGTTAAACCCATGGTAAAGATGTCATATCATGTGTAAAAAATTGCAAGAGATTAAATATATATATGACACGAATAAGCAATCAAAATTTAAAATTGGAAAAAAAAAATAAGAACAAGCAAAAATACCATGAAGGCATCAAAACTTACTTGAGTCATAATCACCCATTCTTTACCAACCTTCTCCATTGCTTTTGCAATTACCTCACCAATTTCCTTCTCTTTTTAGTCAAAATTGTTCCAACCTATTATGAAATATTTAAGTTCAAATCTTAATAAATTAAAGTTCATTACCATTTTCATTTTGATTGTAAAGAACTGCATCACCTTAACAACAATAAGCTTTTGAAAGAAAAACTTTGAATAACTAAACTGACTTTAGCTATCTCTTCAGATATGCTAATCATCTATGCCCATATTTTCAAGTTTGTTATAATAGCATTAACTAACATCATTATGCCATACCTTAGGTCCATTGCAGTCATTCCTGCAACAACAAACTTGTATTATTCTGTAAATATTGCTTGTGTAAGCACTATTGCACATGTAGTACCTGCAAACATGTTAAAGAATTCTCATGACTCAGCTCTCTACATATAGACAACATGTATGCATTTTGGAAACATGAATGCCTAGGCTAACTAAGTTAGTACATGCAAATAGGATGTATCAACAATAGAGTTAAAGACTAATAACTGCAAGAAAATATCTAAAACATAGTTTAAGACTTCAAACAAACCAATTAGGTTGACGAAAGTACTTGTTCCTTACCATCACTAGCTACATCATTGGTGGCATTTGCAACTTGTTTCACAAGACTAGCACCCACATTATTGACTTATCGTTGAATTCAATGCTCTTTGTGATAGTTACACATCTTTAGTCACTTTTAGAGCACCATAACTTTGTTCAGTAACCACATTCTGTCCCTTTGAACAAAAGAAAAAACATGGCATTATGTATAAAAAGGCCCTTAAACCAAAATTAAATAACCATTCAAACCCTTATCATTTTATTGCAAAAAATTAAGCCCTCAAACCTCTATTTTCTTCAATAAAGCCTTTTATTACATGAAAATTGGTTAACTTCCAACAATCATTTTCATCCAATCAAGAGTTCAGTTCGGTGAAAGTATATGTTTAAGGATTCAATTTGGTGAAAATAAATATTTAAAAGCTCAATTGGTGAAAATAAATATTTGAGGGCTCAATTGATTGTAATAAAACAAAAGGGGCTTGGATAATTATTTAATTTTTGTTTGGGGGCTTTTTATACTTAAGCCAAAAAAATTAAGAAATGGTTCATCACATAAAAATACATAACACCATTTCTTATTTTAATCAATATTCCTACTACCTATGAATTTTAAGTACTACTTTTTATCCAATCAAAAAGAAAAGGCATAAATTGTTGCCATCAACGATTAACCTTGAAAACCTAAAGAAAATACTCATTGAATGAAAATGGGGTATATTAGGTTTACCTTAGGACCCATTGTAACTTTAACAGCATTAGCAAGCTACTTAACACCTTTAAGCATCAAAGTCTGATCTTTTACCCCAAAATTTATATCTGTTGCTACATAGTTCCTATTCCAACTCAACCTACAACCATCTAACACACACCAAAAAACTAAAAATCAACAAATAAAAATCAAATCAACATTATCCAAAAAAAAAAGAGAAATGAGTAAATACAACTAAGTAACAACATGATGTGTAGCATTCCTAGCAATCCTGAAACCAAAGAATAATACACACACACACACACACATATATGTGTGTGAGAGAGATAAAGAATTATTTCATTTTAAAGGAACAAAAAAAAAAACTACAAAAAATTAATAATGAATAAATGTTTTCAAAGTAGTACCTAGCTTTAGAAGCAAAGCTTAAAGCGAAATGATACCTGGTTTGTTTGGGAAGAAAGAAAGAAAAAATGAAAGCTCAAGAAAAAGAGAGAGAAAGAGAAAGAAAGGAAATGAGAGAGTTTTGGAAGACAAAAGGTAATGAGAAGATTTGGGGGTTGTGTGTTTAAAGAAAAAAAAACCCAAAAATAGAAGCGAAAGAAAAAGGGCCTAGAAGAAGTAGCGCACCCACCAGTTTCTAGTTATTCAACTTATTCTTTCTTTTTTTTTTTTTTTTGTTTAGGGGTTTGGGTGTTAACATTTCCATCTTTGTTTTCATTTTTTCTTTTAACTTTTCAACTTAATGGATTAAGAGCACATTTGGTTCGAAGGAATTCACAAATTTTCTCTTGGAATTTTGATGGTGGGTATTTGTTTTTCACATTTGGTTTAGGGTAATCTGATTAAAAGAAAAATATCAAATTTTTTATAGTACCCAAAATCTCGAAATCAAAAACCCACATTTTCCTATGATATTTTAAGATTCTAGGAGTGAAAGTTGTCTTATTTCCAAATTTGGCCTAAATAAAAAGTTATGACATAGTCATTACCTTTTTAAAAAACATATCAATTTAATTTTTTTTCTAACACCTTCTTAAATGACCCTTTTTATAGAAATGCCGTAAATGACCTTTTTAATAAGGAGTTCTAAAAAAATTAAAAAGATTATTTAAGGCACTACTATAAAAAAAAAAGATCATTTAAGGTGTTTTTGTACAAAAACGCCTTACATGACCCATTTACGAATGTGTTATAAAAATATTAAAATGATTATTTAAGGTATTTTTGTACAAAAACATCTTAAATAATCTTTTTATAAAAAAAAAATAAAGAGACCAATTAAGGCGTGCAAAGTGCCCAACAGTTTAATTGATCTTTTTTTCTAATAATTTTCCTTATCAATTAAGGTGTTAATGTTTTGAAACATCTCAATTGATGATATTTGATAAATAAAAAAACAATCAATTAAAATATTTATTTTCTTTTACTGCTAAATGTATCATTTGTTGTTTGGATATTTATTATTAATAAAACAAAATGAAAAGTTACCATCATATATGTCAAAGAGATTATGATAATTATACAAGAATTAATATATGTAGATTCTCCTGAACCAAACGAATCAATCTGAATACAGGATATCCTAAAAATGTAAGAAAACCCTGAATATTGTACTTTCTTAGATATCACACTTTTTCCCAAAATCTAAGATTGCGTGAACTAAACACCCTTTAAAGGGTTTTGTTCACTTAGTTTACTCTTTGTTGGATTTGACCCTTGTTTTTTCTCGAATTTAGATTGGACTCAACCTGTTTTTTTTTTTTTTTATCTAAAATGGATTTAAATTTAATTAATGTTGTGTTTGGTAAAAAGAATAAAAATGAGAGAATAACCATTTTTCAATCTCATAATTTAATTCATAACAACTTGTTTTATTTGGTAATTTAACTATTTGATTAAGAGTTTATTTGGATGGACAGTGAGATTAAAAATAATAAAAATAAAAAAAAATTAGTTATGGTATTGATGAGATTAAAATCTGTTACAAGAGATATGCTAAAATGCAAATGCAATGATAATTGTGAGATGAATTATAGTAAGAAAAGAAAAGGATAATTAAGAGTATTAGATCAAAGTTTGTATATAATGAAAATTTGAAATTATTTGACATTTATGAAGTTAATAAATAATTAAAAATTACTAAAATTATTTTTTTGTCAAATATATATTAAAAAATTGATAATAATTAGGATTTGAAATACTAAAAATTATTAAAATATTTTAAAATATTTAATGTTTAAAGAAATAATATTTATAACAATTATAAATTTCTTTTACCAAAGTAATATTAAATATGTAAAATATAAAAGATAAAATAATTTTAATATAAAAATAAAATAAAATATAAGAAATAAAAATATATAGTGGGTATTTTGATAAAAAAAAATCCAATGTAGTGATTCATTGACCTTTAACTTCCAATTGAAAAATGTTGGTTCAATGCAGTTGAGGAAACCAATCACTGAATATCCAAACAAAACAAAATGGGGCAATTACACAAAAAAAAAAAAATCTTAGATCTAACCATTTGAAACACGATAAGAAAATAATATGAAAAGGAGACACGAATGTAATATGATTTAAAATTTTAGTAAAAATATATATAAGTTTAACAAAACAAAAAAATTATATTTCGTATTTATGTGTCAACATGAATTAAGAAACGTAAATTTTGTGTAAAATACAATATAAATACATAAATTATCAATATTTTACATGGTATAAAATACACTAATGCTACAGGTAAATCCAAATGGCACAAAATTTTTGTTGTCTTTTTTTGTCAAATGAAATGTAAAAATTTGAGGAAATTTCTTGTAGAATTTAATCCATTTGACCTTTCAGTTCTCAAGAGAAATAATCAGGTAATGGAAGGGGTTAAAGGTGATTAAAAATTTTAAAAAGTTTTTTTTAATTAATTATATATCCAAATTTAAATTTTTGATTTAGCACTTAAAAGTTTATCATCTATCTTTAAATACTCAAACTTTGCTTTTTTTCATTTATTTGCACATTGAATTAACATCATTATATTTATTTTTGAAAATTTTGATCTATCTTTTAATTTTTCAATTCCTATATGATTAACTCATTTAAAGAGGTTATTACACTTTTAATTGTCCAATAATTTTTAAGAACATATCCAAGGTGCATGTCATATTGATTAATATTGAGTTGGCATTATCATTAATTAAATGAATGACAATTCATGAATTCTTTTAAAAGTTACAAATACCAAATTGAGAATTTAACTACAATTTACTAAGATAAAAAAGAATAATTAATCTTTTTTTCGATTGAAGAAATGAAGAGATTTGTATAAACTTAATTTGATAGGCAACGGCATGTAAATAAGTTGAAATTCTATTGCAATCCACAACAACTAAAGATCAACTCTGGAAAGTTTGGACAATAATTTTAGATTGAAGCCAGTGAAGACTTTCTTGTATTTCACAGACAAAGGTCAAGCCTAACAAAGCCTTGAAACCTACAATTTGCTACACTTCTCCCATTCTAATTCACAATTAGACAGTATTTCTAACCTAATATTGCAACTCAAAAGCACAAGAAGGCCAAAGTCACATCTAGGCAAATGCAAAGTTATTTAATTAAATAAACAATGCATTGAAAACCCTGCTAGTTCACAAGTTGAAACTGCTGGCCATTGATTGCTTCAAAAAAGTTCCTTTTTCTGGCCTGTGCAATTCTGTTGGCATAATTGGTCACCTGACGCAACTGGGCATCATTGAGATCCTGCAAGCATGACAGGAATGCCTTCCCAAGCATGATGTGAATGTCGACAAGGCAGAAAACAACAGTCACTACCAGCATGGTCAAACGGATAGTTGGAATTAGAGAGCATGATTGATCAATTAATACCCGTCAAGGAGAAACTAAAAAAGAAAAAAGAAAAAAAAAAGCATTGATCAGGTATTAATTTTACTGTCAATGTTTGTTGGTTCAAATGATAAGGAGATCAATTCTCTGAAAATAAAATTTCGATTTCGAATTTTATAAATAAAAAAAATAAAAATAAAAATAATTTATTTTTTTATGAGATTCAATTCGATTTAACTTTGAAATAGTTAAAATTCAAAATGGTTCCCAAATACGGAGGTCCCAGACCAAAAAAAAGTATTGATTATACTGATTGTTCACTAAATTGAAATTGGTAATTAGGCACTTGGATGAATAGTCAAATGCAGCCTTTCTGCATTCTTATATTATTTGGAACTAAAATTTTTTTTTAGCATTTGGATCCCTAACACTTAATTGACTTGATATCATTTTAGGATGTAACCTAGCATATTCACCACGAACGAAATGTAAAACACAATAATGCTTAATGTGCAACTCTGACAGATCAATTCTAAATGTCAGTGTACACAAATAGATTGCAACAAGATGGACTTGAAGAAACTTATGCTGTAACCTAATTGATGATTGGTGGCTATACCACTCCATTTGTACGAGTGTATTATGTGATGAATGACGATGAAATATTATAATGGGAACAAACTACATCGGATTTAATAACAATTATTGGCCGTAGGTGGATTCACCTATCTTGAATATAAGGTTACAACTGGATGATATTGCTTATTTATTTTGAATTTTCATTTTATGTCATTCTTATTTGGATGAACTACTTATAGTCTGCAACTGTTGAATCCTCCCTCCCACCGTGCAAATAGCCTGACATTTTGGATCTTTAGTTTCAGCGAACCACCTTTTTACGTTGTAGGATTTTTGGTCACCATCATTAAAGTACACCACCTCAAGACATCATAAGGTCAAATTGATGCAAACAATAAGTGTTTTCTCATGTTCAGTGATTAACAGGGCTGCAATGATCTGCAACAAGATAATGTCAAAGAAATTCAACACTAATGGAAAAAATCTCATGAAAGTTAAGTAAATATCTGAAGGGACCATATTCTGATAAAATAATAGATTAGCATTTATCTGCTTCGATTGCAACCTGAACACAGAATCTGCATGCTATTAGCTTCAAGGGAAGGGTTAACATTAGGAGTTAGTCGGGTTAAACAACTGATGAAAACAATGGCACCATGGAAACTACATCCTTTGCAATATGAAGTAACTTTTCTAGTACAATTTCAATAGAATCTTCCATCGCATCTCTCCGGATTTACAAAACATAGATTAGAAACACACACACCAAAAAAAAAAAAAGGTGAAAATAAAATTTTGGAGAGAATAAAACAATTCAGCACATCACTTGTTGGATAGAATGTTAATTTTAGTCCCACAAACCTGTTTGTTCTTCACCATTCCAGCTACTAATTGTAAGCTGAATTCCCTGCTTGAAGAATCAGCATCATCCAACACCTCAACAATAATTTTCAGAATCTCATGATTGAAATGCTGCAAATAAATAATCATCCACCAGCATCAACGTATTGCTGCTAAAACTCTATAAGAGTCCCTTCAAAGTGTTACTAATTAAGATTCCAGCCATCAAACAAAAAAATTTTTTCTCCCGCATGCGTGCCATTACAACTATATTAACTCTTAGCGTATATGTTCATGTCAGGCATGTTTGAAGATTTGAAAAGTAATTCTTGCTTAATGTGTTGGAAAATCAAATTCCTCACAAAAATAGATGGCAAGTAACACACTGTATATGCTTTTTATGCCTATGCATTTGTATATCTGTTGGACAAGCACAACTCTGACTTTGAGAAAGAATAGGGCATTGGAATACCTATTCAGTCCTCCAACCAAACATAACGCAAAGGAGAGGGGTCTGGTCAGATTACCAGAGCGACCATGGGTGAGCGTCACTCTGGACTTCATAGTCAGTCTATCGAAGGTGGAGGGGTTTAGGAGCATCATAGTAATGGTGGACAAGTTTTTCAAGTATGGGATTTTCATTCCAACAACCAAGGAGTGCCCAGCCAGGGAGACAGCCCGTTTGTTCCTGAAGAACGTGATGAAGCATTGGGAGTACCGAGGACCATTGTTAGTGATCAGGACGTGTGATTCACAGGGTGGTTCTGGACTGAGTTGTTCAAACTGTTGGGGTCAAACTTAAACTTTTCCACCAGCATGCATCCGCAGACTAACAGGCAGACTGAGGGAGTGAATTGATTGTTGAAGGTCTACCTCAAGCACTATGTGAGTGCCATGCAACGAGACTGGCCCATGTTGCTAGATGTCGCCCAGTTCTCATACAACCTATAGAGGAGTGAAGCAACGAATCAGAGTCCTTTCAAGATTATGATAGGTCAGCAAATACCCAGTTCGATTGCTGCAGGTTATACAAGGCCTAATCTAGTAGCATATAAGTTTGCCAAAACTTGGCAGAAGCAAGCCAACTTGGCTAGAGTTTGTCTACACAAAGTCATGAAGAGGTCGAAGAAGTGGGCAGACCAGAACATAAGGGACGTGCAGTTCCAAGTAAAGGACTCGGTCATGGTGAAGCTGCACCCATCATGTGCCACAAAGGGCTACGTAAAGGCTTAGTCAAGAGGTACGAGGGACCTTTCAGAGTTCTAAAGAGGATAGGCAAGATTGCCTACAAGCTAGATATATCACCCAAGCCAAGGGTACACCTGATGTTCCATGTTAGCATGCTCAAGCCATTCCATATGGACGAAGGGGATCCAGGACTGGCAGAGTTGAAGCGTGTACTATTGGGAGCCATGGCCTCATATGAAAAGGGAGGTCCATAGCATCATTGCTGATTGGGAGGTGAAACAGAAGAACCATCAATCAAGACAGAAGTACTTGGTGCACTGGAAAGGACTTCCAGACAGTGAGACGAATTGGGAACCAGTGAATGACTTATGGCAGTTCTAACACCAGATCAAGCACTTCTACGTAAATGACGTAACGAGGGTGTCGCACAATCAACTGGGGGAAAATGTCATGCCCTGGGCGAATGCACCAGGCACTCAGGCTCGAGCATCAGGGACCAAAGCTCAAGCACCAGGGACAATTACGAGAGTTGGCGCAATAAGCATGGGAGAAGAGTCCAAACCACCCACATAGCATGTAGGCTTGCTAGTACAGCCAGGGCTAGGCCTGTAACATGCCCTGCACCGCACCTAGGTGGACCCATGGGAGCTTGACCAATCTAGAATCTTCCAAAGACATCCAAGATCGATAGCATTCAATAAAAGAATCTGGTTGACCCTGAAATCAGGAAGAGCCTTATGTAATCTGTGTAATAATGTGTAATCCTTGATTTTTAAAAATCTTGTAAATACCTTGATTTTAGGATATAAGTAGAGCTGGGGGCCTCAACTATAAATAAATGATCGCCCTACCCTCAGTTATACATCATCAAACACACTGTTCTTCAGTGATACACTGCATATTCCAATATTCTTTGTGTTCTCTCTAACTTGCATATTCTACCTTTTCAATTATTTGTTTGCCCGTACGCTTGGTTTATAGGCTAACTTAGACCTAAGGAACACATTCCTAGTCTAAGGCCACATTGATTTTGAGTCAAAGGTCGAAGCTTATGACAGTTGATATCAAGTAGGTTTTGTGCAGGTCCTATTTGGTGGTGTTCAGCTTACACTTAAGGAGTTTACGAAAATGACAACCCAGAGTGATGTTGTTAGCCAACAACCAGAGGCCCAAGAACAAGGTTGTGAAAGGGGTAAGAAAGCCAATTCAAAGGACATTTGGTCTACCCTAGATGGGCATATGGCCAAGGTGGAAGTGACAGTGGGCGATGTGAAAGAAAAGCTTGACAAAGTAAATGCTCACTTCGATGCATTAGACTCTATGGAAGAGGAGCTCAAAAGTGAGTTACAAGCTACTTTGAATGAGGGCATCAACATGATCACCTAGCGGAATGCAACCTTGGAGGCCCAGATGGAGACCATACGTAAGGAGATGAAAGAGCTCAAGAGAGAGCTCACTACTTGCAAGATAGCCATTAGGAATGGTATGATCGCTAAAGTATTTAAGACCCATGTGAAAATTCCCAAGCCCAAAGAGTTCAAAGGGACTAGAATGGCTAAAGAAGTAGATAGTTATCTCTAAGGGATACAGCAATACTTTCAGGCCACGAGCATGTAAGACAATGCTACTAAGGTAAACACCGTTTTAATGTATCTTATTGATGTTACCTTATTATGGTAGAGGCACAAGTGTGATGATATGAGGCACGGAGGTGCCTTGATTGGAACTTGGGAAGAGTTCCAAAAAGAGTCAGTTCAAAGAGCAATTTTACTTAGAGTACGCCAATGATAAGGCTCGAGCAAAATTACGACCATTTACTCAGCAAGAGGATATATGAGAATATGTCCAAAAGTTCTCTAAATTGATGCTGCAAATTTCAGATCTGAACGAAACCGAAGGTCTGTTTGCCTTTATGGATGGGCTCAAACCATGGGTAAAGCATGAGTTACAAAAGAAGGGAGTTTGTGAGCTGGTTAAGGCCATGACCACCGCTGAGTCCTTGGTAGAGTTCAAGCTGTAGAACAAGTCAGAGTCTACCAAGCCCAAAAGACAGAGTAGGATAAGAGGGGTCGAGAACAAAATCCAAGGGTAAAGACCGTGACCAATAATTCAAAAAGAGAGAAAAGACCATTCGAACAAAAACGTCCAAGGCAAATCACTAGCAGGGAAATGGAAGACAAAGGGAGATTGAGAACGAGTCTCATGCTACTTGTGTGGAAAATCACATTTAGCTTGAAACTACCCAAAAAGAGGCAAGCTAGCTACTGTAAATAAAAAGTCGAATAAAGAGCCAGAAAATGGGACTGCAAAGCTTGGGTCGTTAGTGCTTAGTGTTGTCCAAGGTAAAGGGAGTTGCAAGTAAAAAAGGTTTATATATGCTGCTCTGATGGTTACGGGCAAGAAAATGAGCATACTGATGGAGATAAATGCCTTGCATTTGTTTGTTTCAGGTGATAAAACCTAAAAACTAAACCTAAAAGTGCATAAAAAAATTGGTACCATCACAACGATGAACTCCAATAAGGTTCCAACCATTTGAGTAGCACGGGGAGTAGAGACACAGCATGGAGCTTGGAAGGGCAAGAAAACCATTGAGGTAATACCCTTGGATGATTATGAGTTTGCGATTGGGTTAGATTTCCTTGTTCGGATTAACACCCTTCTTGTGCCTTTTGCAAACTATATATACATTCTAGATGCACGGTGCCAATACATTATACCATTGAAGCACGAATCCGAGATTAGGTCCAAAGTGCTGTCGGCCATTCAATTTGCCAAAGTAGTGAGCAAGGATGAAGACACCTTTTTGACTGCCTAAAGTATGAAAAATCGAGGGATAAATAGACCGACACCCTCTCAGAGGTGCTAGAGGTGCTGGAGACTTTTAGCGAAGTGATGCCTGGAAAGCTGCCTAGCAAACTGCCACCCAAGAAAGAGTCCAAGAGGGTGTCGGTCTCCTTCTCCCTTGGTTCCTCATACTTCAAGGCAACCAAAAAGGTGTCTTCATCCCTGTTCACCACCTTGGCGAATTGAATAATCAATAGCACTTTAGACCCAATCCTAGACCCACGTCTTAATGGTACAAGGCATTGGCACTGTGCTTCCAGAATGCATATGCAGTTGACAAAAGGCACAATGAGAGCGTTAATCTAAACAAGGAAATCTAACTCAATCACAAACTCAAAATCATCCAAGGGTATTACCTCGATGGTTTCTTTGCCCTTCCAAGCTCCAAGTTGTATCTCCACTCCCCTTCATTATATATTTCCTGTCAATTGATACTTAAATAATAAAAATTCATAATTAAATACTTAAACTTTCATTCATAAAACTGGCATTTCCAACATTATTATCGTCAGCTAAGTAGCCAACATGGAATAAATACACAATAAATTTATGATATGTGTCATAAACATCTGGTTATCATCAAATCATCTATTTCCTTGAGAAAAAAATGACAACAGGGAACGGCAGAAAGGTTTCCAGAATTGGGCTAGGGGGAGTAAAGAGAAAGATTCTGACGATAACAAACTTTAATGATTCTACGAATTCAACATTTTCTTTTCCTACCCAGAGAACAAGCCTGAATTTTGGCTGATAATTATCAACTAGAATTCACACAAAAACCATTAATGTGGAAACAGATCCCTTCTCTCCCAAAAACATGTTGAAAGACATCATTAGATAATTTCACTCCACAAATCCTGAGTTTCTCCTACTCATAAAAGCCAGGCAATTTTTTTGTAAAATGTCCTCATAATCAAATTCATACAGCAAGCTTTATGAAGGATGTTCCCCTAAAACTTTATCATAGTCATCAACCAAAAAACCAAGTTCGGAAATGTAATTGACCTGCAAAATTGTAACTTTGACTGCAACTTTAAAACTCTACAATTTTGCAAATCCGATCTCAATAAGCTTTGCTACAATAAAATTGCAAAATCCTCATGCCAATTGATCAAGAAACATGCACTTATAAGTGCAATACATGATTATTCTTTTGGTTCAAGTTAAACAACAGACAAGATAAGGCTGTTGTAATTCCATTGAAAGCAGATATTGAATATAAAAAAACAATGTTAATTCTAACATTGATCCAGATAAAGATACATCTAGACATTGAAGTTACTTCTAAGCAAGTAGCTTTTAAAATCCCTGGCACATCAATGATCAATCGCTCTTGTCCTCCTGAGATCCAATCTCTTGCAAGTAATGCTCAGCTTCCAAGGCTGCCATGCACCCTGCATTGTTGCAATGCAAACAAATGTAAAATAAGCTAGATGAGAATAGGTAAAGAACTTAATGCAGCAGCAAATATGCATGTAATCCACATAAAAGCACAATTTTGCAGATTCAAGAGGAAATGGATTTTGGTTTTCCATATGAATTATTATCATGAACAGTATACAAATAGAGCAATTGCATATGAAATGGCCTAAGTTTCTGAATAAGTCACAATAAAACTATTTTATAAGCCAGTGATTGGCAATATTCAGCAGCTCTTTCCTTTTCATTGTAGGTCTTGCACGTTGATGCAAGTACGGGAAAGAGGTTGAAGAATTGTATAAGTCCTGCAAGAACTTTTATTTTCCCCTTTTGTTTTCATTTGTTCCAAGAGAAAAGGAGAGAAGATTCATCTAAAGATGTAGCATACAATAAATTAATGTTTGGTCAGATCTTATTCTACCATGTAAAATGACAAGTAAAAAATCCATGCCTCAGGTGACTGATTCTTTTGCAATTCGTGCCAATTTATGTCATGTAAGAAAGCTTGATGACAATCAAAGAGCAAAAAAAAAAAAAAAAACTTGGAAGATAGCAAAAATGTGGAGAGAAGAGGACAAACCAGTGCCAGCTGCAGTAATAGCCTGTCTGTACTTCTTGTCCTGGACATCTCCAGCAGCAAAAACGCCGCGCACGCTGGTCTGAGTTGTACCTGGCTTAGTGAGAATGTAGCCATCTGAATCAAGCTGCAGCTGGCCTTCCAAGAACTTGGTGGCAGGCTCGTGCCCAATGGCAAAGAACAAACCAGAAACTTTCAGATCAGAAACTTCCCCTGTGAGCAGGTTCTTCACCTTGAGCCCTCCCAAAACCCCTCTCTCCCCATCCCCATACGCCTCAACCACCACTGAATTCCATATCACCTCTATCTTCGGGTTCGAAACAACCCTGCTCTGCATGATTTTCGATGCCCTAAACGTATCTCTCCTGTGAATGATATAGACCTTGGAACCGTACTTGGTGAGGAAGGTGGATTCCTCCATTGCGGAGTCACCCCCACCGATCACTGCCAGGGGCTTGTTTCTAAAGATTGGGGCCGCCCCATCACACACAGCGCACGCTGAGATTCCTCTGTTCCAAAAGCCTCCTTGCCCATCCCCTGACCCCGGGAAATTGAGCCGCTTGGCTACAGCACCTGTGGCCACGATCACCGAGTCAGCCAGGACGGTTTTGGCATCGGTGAAGATCTTGAACGGAAACGAAGAGAAGTCAACCTTGTTAACAGTTTCAGTGAAGATGGTGGTGCCGAAGCGGAGCGACTGATTGCGGCAGCGGTCCATAAGCTCTATGCCCAAGATACCCTTCGGGAATCCAGGAAAGTTCTCCACGTCGGATGTGGTGGTAAGCTGGCCGCCAGGGGCGATGTCATTAGCCATCCAGCCCTCGAAGAGAATAGGCTTGAGCTCAGCACGGGCGGCGTAGATGGCGGCCGTGTGGGCCGCGGGGCCGCTGCCAATGATGCAAACCTTTGTCCTGAGGGGAGAGTCCATGGCTGAAGAGGCGGAGTTGGAAAAAGACGCTGAGGTTGTAATGTAGGTAGCTGCAGCGGAAGTGGTCGTAAGGCCTATCAAAGTGCGGGCTTTTCTCAACAGGTTTTTCAGCCTGCTAGGGTTCGACTTATAATTCATCTTTTACTTTTATGTTTCCTTTTTTGTAGACGCGTTTGCGGCCGCCCCTCAGACTTCTAATCCTTTTTTCTTTCACATTTTAGGCGGCAAAAACTCCTCTAATTTTTTTTTTCCGCTATGCCTGTATCTAATTCTCTTCGAGTTTGAAACGTCAGTGTTGGTTTTGACTTTTAAGGGTTTATATTGGTATTTGATAGTTGTCAAAATCCACAATCCAAAATCCAAATTGCCGATTGCTTCCCTCCCCGAGCAAGTAATGAATCAAATCGAGTATTAGTAATTTCATATCTAATTTTAAAAATTTTAAAATTTAATTAAACTTTTATTTTCTTAATATATTTAATAAATATAAATAAAGGATAAAAATATTGTATTTAAACTTAAATTCTTGGCTTTTTAAAGGGTGCCTTGTCTAAGATCATCATCATTTGAATGGCAATGAATCATCAATGGCTTTACAAGCAAGCATTGTTTGCAAAGCAATTTACAATGTGATTTTTTTTATTTTTTGAGAAATACAATGTGAACATTGAACCTGAAACAGAAAAGGAGTTTTTCTCCTTCGTTGAAAGCTAGGGATGTTTGAAGAATATTGTGAAAAACAAGATAAGTTAGAATGCAAAGGAATAAATTACACATTTGGTCATTGAAGTATACCTTTCTTTCTAATTAGGCCTTTGAAATTTAATTTATTCCATTAATATTTATTAAATTTTATTAAATATCTCAAAATTAATCACTTTAAAAATTTCATTCAATCAATTTGACAAAAACATGACATGATTGCCATGTCTGTCATATCAGCTGCCACTTAAGATGCCACATGGCTACTTGTATAACCATTTTTTTTTTTTTGTTGATCTCCTCCCATGTTACACCATCCATGCACAAGCTTAAAGTCGACAACTTCATAGCAAAAAAAAAAAGAAAAGAAAACTGCTTTAGCATTACTAACAATTGAAATTTGATACCAACAAAAAAAAATCCCAGTAACACCATTGTCATCTCCTATTCCTATCTTAGCATTCCCAGAACCTTGATAGTTCCGAAGCACACGATATTCTAAATACTATCAGATCATACACCAAAAAAAATAAGAAAAGAAAAAATCACCACCCCTTAACATAATCGAATACCCAAATCACCTTCCAAAATCCCACACATTTTCAGTCAACAAGCACAAATGCATAATAATATAAAATCAGAACTATCCTCTAATGAGGAAGCAACACAAGAATAATAAATATTAAAATCACAAAAAAAAAAAGAAGAAAAGAGAAATGAAGCTAGGATTTCAGGTCTTAGGGATTTTTTTTTTTTTTTTTTAGGAAATCTAAGATAGGAGGAGGAAAGAGGAAAAAGAGGGGTTGCTCTAGTCAGTGGTGGGAAGAGGAGCCGTAGGCAACGGCATCCTTATGCTAACTATTTCATATTTAAGAATTTTATTAGTTTTTTCTTTTTAACGATTTAATAATTAAAATAAAGGGAAACTAATAGAGGAAAGGATTTATATGTTTGCTTCAGGTTTTAGCAGCAGGGAAATGAAGATTTATGGAGGAGGAGCCGTAAGATTTCGAGTTAGATTTAGCCTAATCTATATTTTTTCTTGTAAAAATCAGAATCGAAGAAGGCAAAGAAGAGGTTGACAGGAGTTTGGAAATGAAATTTGGTGAGATATTAATGCTGGGCTATGACGGAGGGCGATGGCCATCGTGATGGTCCAATGGTCTACAATGCAATGGTGGTTGTCAAATTTCTTTTGAGAGAGAGGAAGAAATTTAAAAAGAGAAAAAATATAAAAATAAAAATTGTTTTTTCAATTTATTGTGATTGAATTAGTTAACATAGTGGCCGATGTGACACGAATACGATAATCATGTCATGTTTTTAACAAAGAAATTGGATGAAATTTGTTAAGTTATTGATTTTTGAGATACTTAATGAAATTTAGTGATTTCAATAGGACAAATTAAATTTTAGGGATGGGAAGATAAGTATAATTCAGTGACCAAATATATAATTTACTCAAGCAAGCAAGACAGATTTTAATTTATAAAACTGATATCAGGAAATTAAGGTTTTAAATGTTTTGTTTTCGGTTTTTTTTTTTAGAGTAAAGATGAGAATAGATTAATTAATTTTGAAGGACTAATTTCACTACTAGAAACTGGGTTTTTAGCAACCATAAACAATTGAAAATATTGTTGTAAAATTTTATTATATATATAACAATTTTTTATAATCGTTGTTTGTTTTAATTTTTTAATATTTTATATAAACGATAATTTTTGTTGTTGCAAAGTTTTATTAAATTAATAATAATAATAATAAATCTTGCAATATATTATTATTTTTGTAATGATTTTTCATTCTTGTTACTTAAATAATTTTTTAAATATTTTATACAATAACAAAAATAATTGTTACGATATCTATAATATATTTATAACAATAAAAAAAGTCGTTACTAAATTTTAATAAATTTGTAATAACATTTCCTATGTTGTTGCAAATTTCTATCAAATTGATAACGATAAAAAAGGTGTACAATGACAAAAAAATTGTAACGACATCTATCGCATATTCATGAAACATACAAAGTTATTTTTAAATCTTATCACATTTGCAACAATTTTTTATAATCTCTACCATATTCATGTAATGTTCTTTTTTTTTTTTTCCAACCAGTCTAAATAGTAAACAATACATGCAGTCTAGTTCTGATGGCCAAATATACAATTATGAAACTAGTGCACTGACAGGCCCACATGAACACCTAAAACGCAAAAAGCGGCCTCCCTCCAATCGGTTTTATGGTTGAGATTTTCATTGGATTTAATAGTCATTTTCCTTTCAAGGAAGTTATGTTGAGGGTGTTACAACCTTGAAATATAACAGAGTTATGACAATTTTTTTTGTACTGGGATTGTGCGCTAATGAATCATTCCTTGATTTTCAACCGGAAATATAATATTGTTACTAATAAAAATAAAATGATTCATTAGGAATAGTTGCTTTATCTGATTAAAAAAAGTTATTAATTTGTCATCAATTATTGGTTTGGAAAGACACATTTGCTTCGAAAGAAGTGGGTAGTAAGAGAACCAACTTTTCGACTTATTTTTCTTATTTGTCCAAAATAAAAAGGTTAAATACTTAATTTAGGACATAACAATTGAGTTTCTTTCAATTGAAGAAAGAATCTTTAATTTGATTCAGAATTAAATGTTCAAGGGTGTGCTCAATTCAAGATTTGTTAACAGTCATGAATTGCACGCGTCGTAAAGTGACATTTAGCCGTTGAGTTCATTTTTATCTTCCAATCACGGTATTGTCTCTTCTTCCACTGAAGCAAAAGTTGTAAAAAAAAAAAAAAAAGCAAACTAAGTTTGCTAAAATCTTGAAAAGAAAATAGTACTTGGAATAAAACAAAAATACCTTAACCATCTAAACATTTCCAACGCTTCCAAACAAACCAGCAAGCTGGGCACTATCCATATGAGAAGGAAGATTACCCACAAAAAGTTTCAAGTCAGGGGAGAAACTGGGAGTCCCTTCTCTATCATCACTACCAAATAACTCCCTTCCTGACCATACTCAGATGAAACGATAATGTTTCTAACAAAGTTAGAAGAACAAGAATCAGACTTTTGGTTAAAGTTTGAAACTTTGAAGAGAGTAACAGAAGAGAGGCCTCTCATGAAGCATGTAGAAAAGAAAGAAGAAGGAAAGTGAAATGGGTCTTGCGTTAGATGAAGTTAAGGTTTTGGGTTTGAGAGAGGAGTATGAGATAAGGCAGATGTAGCAGACATGGCTTCTTTTCTTTCTAGCCTTTATTTTCTGCTTTGCCTAAGAGATGAGTGAATCAACAAAAAGGAAGCAGGGGACTCACCACGGGTCCTAAGTCGTGGGTTGGATGAATGCCACTCTGGAATAGCAGCACAAAAGGAAACGGTCCAGATCTCTTCTTTAGGGATCCTGCTAGGGGAAAAATGACGCTTTTTGGGTTGGGTTGCCCCTTTTTCCAGGTCACGAATATTTTTTTTTTTTTTTGGTCTAACCAAGAACATAGTGGCTGAATCGGTAAATCCGATTTAATTTTTATACCTAATTTTGTTATCTCAAAATTTTCTGGTAAATTGTTTTTTCTTCTAAATGCTCTGGGTAAAAACCCTAAAACCCATCTTGTCTCAGATTAATTTGGTTTAATCTTTTTTTTTTTATTTTAGTTTAACGCCTAAAAGATATGATTTACCTTTTTTTATTTCATAATAAGTATCACTCTCTTATAACGCGAGTGTAATTTACTCTTTTAAAATATTCTAAACTAATCCGTAAATATTTAATTATTAATTGAATCAAATTAAAAATTATATTTTTAATTAAAAAAATCTAAATTTTGAATTTTAAATTGAATATTTAATTTTACCAAAAGGTCGAAAAATGAATTATGGTTCAATTGTTGGTTAGGTCTTGGAAATGTTGTTCTGACATAATTAATTAATTAATATTTGAATTCATGCTTATTTTATGTATTTACAAATATATCATTTATCAATTATGTATAAAAATTGAACTCTCAAAGTGATAAATGTAATTAATTAAAATACTCTTAAAAGGCAATTAGTTTATGAAAATAAAATTTTTATTGAAATTTTATTTTTGATAATTTGATTATTTTGTTTATTTGGAAACTTTTAATTTATTGTATCAAGAATTTTACATTTCCAACAATTTCAAAAATAAAAAATAAGGAAAATTCAAAACCCTTTTCTTCTTAAGGGGGTTTGTTTGCATAATGTTAAATTTTGAAAAAAAAGTGATCTATGAGAATGTGTGAATTCTTAAAAATGAATTATTTTCTTATTATGGGAATATTGAATTTCAATGTTTAATTTGTAGAATCTCATATTACTTAATAAAGACTTTTCAATATAATATTTTTCATTATATGTAAATAACATGTGACAAACATTTTAATTGTCAATTATATTATTAAAATTAAATATGTGACAACCATTAAACAATAAAAATAAAAAAGATTTCATTTTTTTATGTTAAAAATAACATAATATATATGAAAAAAATATATAGAATAAAGTTCGAAGGATGATGTTTTTGAAC